TCAGACAATCAGACTCAGCAGACTGATAAATCTGCTACAGAAAAAGGTAAAGAGATTTGGGATCTCTTAGGACAGCCCAGTGGAAAATTTGATTATTTAGTCAAATACAGTCCACCAGAACATTTTTCTTCAGAACATTTTTCAAATAACCCAGAACTTTCACAAGCCCAAAAAATTCAATCTAGTAAGGGAAAACAAAAATGGTAGTCCAAGATAGTCAAGAATGTTTATTCTTTCAAGAATCACAAGATCCTAATCCAGATACAGCCTCTTTAGAAAAGATCTTTGAAAAAATTGAAGAACTCCAAAAACAATCTAAAAAAGATGAAGGATCTTCTTCTAGAAAAAAGAAAAAGATTAAGAAGAAGAAAAATGATGAAGGACTGAAAGAACAAATAAGAGAAGCAGTTAACCAAGCATTCAAGACAATATTAAAAAAGAGCCATGAAGAAGAAAAAGAAATTGCAGAATGTCCAGACCAAAAAGAAAAAGATGAAGCCAGTAATTCCAAACTCTCAGACGAAGAAAAAGATCCACAAGAAGAAGGATACAATAATTCAGACAGTCGAATGTCATTTTCATCAGTGGCACGCCATAATCTCAGTACATGACCAGATCTCCATTAACTCAGAAAAGACAAATTTTGCCAGAAGAAAAGAAGAAAAAAGAGAAGACCCAAAAATCGAGACTAAAGACTTTTAGGGAAAGATGTCAGGAATTCTTTGAAAAAAGAAAAGATTCTCCGACAAAAGAAAAAAATTTCTCAAAAGTAGGAAAGATTTTTTAGATTTTTAGAAAAAGTTGGTGAAATTTTTGATAAAAAGAAAGATTCCCCAACTGTAGACTTTTTGAATTTTTGTAAAAGTAGTAACTTTTCTTTCCACTTGTTAGATCTTGAATTGGCCAGAAATTTCTCGGTGAAACGTGTGCCTCTCCCAAGGATAGTATAGACTTTTTGCTCCCAAGAATTTTTCTATTTAAGGAATGAGTTTCATTCGGTTTAGGCAGAAGTTTACAACCTGTGTAATCTCTGCAATCCAAAAAACCTTTTGAAATCTCTCCCAAAAAAATTCTCAATCCAAAAAATCATTGTACAGTTGAATCATCATTGTGAATATTCAAGGTATTCTTGTATTCTTTTAAGTTTATTTTAGAACTTTAGGGACTTCCCGAAAGGGAAATCCTTAGTTGTAAATCTTTTTGAAAATGAATTTATAAATCCCTGATTTATGTTTTAATCTTTTGTTTATGTTTTTATGTTCATATTTCAAGTAAATATTTATCATATTCATCATTTCATCCTATGCATATAATTAAAGCATAACTTGATTTCTAGAAGCCATACTGTTTTTAGGTTAATCCTGAGTGACCCAGATGAATGAAAACTTTTGGCCGGAGTGAGCCTTTTGATGTTTTCTAGAGATGCTGGGGAAAGGGAAAAAATTAATCTAAGAATTTTATAAGGGAGTGCCACGGGTAACCTTATAAAAAGGAATCAGGTTCAAGTTTATATGTCATAGGTGGTGAAAAAAAAATAAATAAAAAATTTTTTTTAGGGGATTTATATATGATTCTCAAAAAAGATTTATAGAAAACTAAGGAGAGTACTGAGTAGGATTAAAGTTATTAAAAGTTAAAAACAGCCATCTACAACAGCCATATCTTAAAACAGCACACCCCTTTTGAAATCTCTCCCAGAAAAATTCTCAATCCAAAAAATCATTGTACAGTTGAATCATCATTGTGAATATTCAAGGTATTCTTGTATTCTTTTAAGTTTATTTTAGAACTTTAGGGACTTCCCGAAATGGAAATCCTTAGTTGTAAATCTTTTTGAAAATGAATTTATAAATCCCTGATTTATGTTTTAATCTTTTATTTATGTTTTTATGCTCATATTTCAAGTAAATATTTATCATATTCATCATTTCATCCTATGCATATAATTAAAGCATAACTTGATTTCTAGAAGCCATACTGTTTTTAGGTTAATCCTGAGTGACCCAGATGAATGAAAACTTTTGGCCGGAGTGAGCCTTTTGACGTTTTCTAGAGATGCTGGGGAAAGGGAAAAAAATTAATCTAAGAATTTTATAAGGGAGTGCCACGGGTAACCTTATAAAAAGGAATCAGGTTCAAATTTATATGTCATAGGTGGTGAAAAAAAAATAAATAAAAAATTTTTTTTAGGGGATTTATATATGATTCTCAAAAAAGATTTATAGAAAACTAAGGAGAGTACTGAGTACGATTAAAGTTATTAAAAGTTAAAAACAGCCATCTACAACAGCCATATCTTAAAACAGCACACCCCTTTTGAAATCTCTCCCAGAAAAATTCTCAATCCAAAAAATCATTGTACAGTTAAATCATCATTGTGAATATTCAAGGTATTCTTGTATTCTTTTAAGTTTATTTTAGAACTTTAGGGACTTCCCGAAAGGGAAATCCTTAGTTGTAAATCTTTTTAAAGATGAATTTATAAATCCCTGATTTATGTTTTAATCTTTTGTTTATGTTTTTATGTTCATATTTCAAGTAAATATTTATCATATTCATCATTTCATCCTATGCATATAATAAAAGCATAACTTGATTTCTACAAGCCATACTGTTTTTAGGTTAATCCTGAGTGACCCAGATGAATGAAAACTTTTGGCCGGAGTGAGCCTTTTGACGTTTTCTAGAGATGCTGGGGAAAGGGAAAAAAAATTAATCTAAGAATTTTATAAGGGAGTGTCATGGGTAACCTTATAAAAAGGAATCAGGTTCAAGTTTATATGTCATAGGTGGTGAAAATTAAAAAAATAATAATAAAATAAAATAAAATAAAATTTTTAGGGGATTTATATATGATTCTTAAAAAAAATTTATAGAAAACTAAGGAGAGTATTGAGTAGGATTAAAGTTATTAAAAGTTAACATTTGGCTCTAAGCTTTCTTACTGGGTACCATGAACTTGATTTTGAAATGGTTCATTTTGTTCTTCCTCAGGATTGGTTTCTTCCTTTATATTTTTGCCAATTATGTAAACATTCTATATATATATATATATATATATATATATATATATATATTCTCCCATCATAGCACCCCCAATCAAATGGTCAATATTTCCATTTGGATCAGCAAAGAAATCGGGAACATCTAAATGAGTCATATCAATTGGACCATCATAGTCAACAAACTTTGTCTCCACTTTTTCCTTTCCCTTGATTGATTTTTGATAGAGATCCACAAGGTGTTTTGCTGTACGACAGATACGTGTCCAATGCCCTTTCATTCCACATCTAAAATAACTTTCTTGGTATACCCTTTTAGGTGTGCTACTTTCGTTTATTTTGTGCCTTTTAAAATTGTTTTCTTGTTGTTGATAACTTTGTTAATTATTTTGTCTATGGTTTACTCCGCGCGCACGTCTGCGTCCATGTCCAAATCCACGTCTTCATATTGTATTTACTTTAGGCAATGTAGTATCATTTGCTTCAGGCAATGATACAGAACCAGTTGGATGTACCCCATAATTTCTCATCAGCAGTTCATTATTATGTTTAGCAACAAGCAAGCAAGATATAAGTTTCAAGTACTTTTTGAAACCGTGCTCGTGATATTGCTACTACAAGAGCACATTTTAGGCGTGAAATGTGGAAAATATTTTATCCAACATGTCCTCATTAGTGATTTTTTTCTCCACACAATATCAATTTTGAACATATTCTGAAAAATTCAGAATTATACTCACTAACAGTTTAGAAGTCTTGCAAACAAAGGTACATCCACTCATAGCGGGTTTTGGAGAGGACTATAGTCTTCTGATGATCAAATCTCTCAATTAAATTTTTTCAAAGAACTTCAGGATCTCTCTCGGTAAGATATTCAATTTTTAGTTCATCTTGAAGATGATGATGAAGGAATATGAGTGTTATTGCACAATCCTGCAGAGATTCTTTGTTTCTTTCTTTTATTGTTTCTCCTAAATCTTTTGAGACAAGATAGATATCAGTATCGAGTACCCATGATAGATAATTTTTGTCAGATATATCAAGTGCAGCAAACTCGAGTTTCATAATATTTACCATTTGATTAACTATACAATAAAGAAAATACAATTAGTTTCGAAGAATATGATTAAATATCATATAATAATTAATCAATATCAACATGATATAAGTTACGTGTTTTTCTTCAGGGATAAACACAAAAAATTATGTTCTTCGAAACATATGCTAATTCAGGAGCTCGTATTTTATTATTATTTTTCCAATATCAATACGTCAATATTCTTCTGAAATATTAAAAATATAATTTATGCCGTCCAGGAGTAAATATTATTTTCAAAAATATTAATTATAATTATGTGCTACTTCTGGAGCTACAATGAATTATTTATAATAGACAGATCTACAATTAATATTCTTCTGGAATATTAATTATAATGTTGTGCTACTTCAAGAGCAATAACATAATATATTACCAATTTAAAATTTGTAGACGAATATCTTCTCTAAACTTTGAAAAATTAGGCTATCGTGTTGATAACGTGTTATAAAAATGAAGAAAAGAGAAGTCAATAAATTTGTGTGTATTTTATTAAGGATCAAAGCCCTGTATTTATAGGGCAGAATCAGGGATACAACAGTAATAATTTATAGGGTTGTAGGGGTATAATTTTCATTCACCTCTAAACTCTAATAAACTTTCATTTTACAACAGATATTTTAATCTTCCCAATTTTTCTTCTATTTTTTCCGCCTTTAGTAAGCCTAGTATTTTCTACAAGTATTTTCTACAAGAATAATTTTCATTCACCTCTAAACTCTAATAAACTTTCATTTTACAACAGATATTTTAATCTCCCCAATTTTTCTTCTATTTTTTCCGCCTTTAGTGAGCCTAGTATTTTCTACAAGGATAATTCTATCTGTATATAAAAAACGTCTAGAAGCAATTGCAGCATGCTGATGTGGTGCTTTTAATTGACAAGATATGGACCCCAATAACTCACGAGAAATTAGTAAAATTCATTTCAAATTCAGACCCTATCTAAACCAAAACCCATCCTAAAGTTAGATAATCTCTCTCCTCTTTCTCCTCACACACTTTATCCTATATTAGAGGCCTCTCGGTTGCAAAGCCACATCTGACGACTCCAGGTCTGGTGACTATGTTGATAAACTACATCTGGTGACACCATGTTCGATATGTTTTTGAAATGACTGGAAACTTTTTTTTGGGTGCTTTATTTATAGATCTTCATTTTGGGGTTTTTAAATCAGTATCAACCACAAAAAATGTATGTTTTTTAAATGACTAGAAATATTTTTGGTGTTGTATTTATAGATGTTCAATTTGGGTTTTTTAAAATGAGTAGCTTATATATTTGGACAGTTGATTTACATCCGACGACTGTACAATCGGGAAATGTGTGTTTTCAAAATGCCCCTTTATTTGTAAAGATCTTCATCTTGGGGTGGGTTTTGGTACTGTTACGATGGAAGTGTTTTTTCGTTCTTTAATCGAATTAGTTTTTCGGAGGAAGAGTCACTGCGGAAGTATCTTCGTGCTTTTCTTTATGCAAATTCCACCCATAGTAACCTTTAAATGTGGTTTATTTCCTAAAGAAAATTCGAGCCACAGTTATATGTCCATTGGAGAAAATCGTTTCATTTACATTTGGGTTTATTCTAACTTGCCAATTCGGACATTATTGTGATGTAGTTTTTTAAGAGTCACTGCGGAAGTGTCTTCGTGCTTTTCTTTATGCAAATTCCACCCATAGTAACCTTTAAATGTGGTTTATTTCCTAAAGAAAATTCGAGCCACAGTTATATGTCCATTGGAGAAAATTGTTTCATTTACATTTGGGTTTATTCTAACTTGCCAATTCGGACATTATTGTGATGTAGTTTTTTGTTGTTGTTCTATTAGAATTCTTCAATGGTTGGAAGAAATAAGGGGATATGTTATTCATGTAGACAGTTAAGATACATCTTGCCAGATTGCCTTGGAAAGAGAAGATGCCCAAACTATGGCCAAGGCTATATTAAATAGATGGAGGTGGAAAATAAAAGCGATAACAAAGGGCGTTTGTTCCAGTGTTGTACCCGTGACATATGTTGATTTTTCGATTGGAATAAATCTCCTCCTGGCTGCAGTATATCCATTGCAAGATGAAGGTCAATCAAGTAGCATCTCCAATTGTAGTGAACCCGTCGATGTTTTGACGCATATGTTGGAAACATGTGCTAGAGCCAAGAAAAAAGACATTGAGATCTCTCTCAACATCACAACAATTTGTAAGGGGAAACGAGATTCAGAAGATGTTCTATGAACTTCGATGTAATGGGATGGTGAATGAATATTTAATCTTCGATGTGATGCCTTAATGAAAATATATTGCTTTAATGTTAATGTTAATGACAATGTAATGCCTTAATGTTAATGAAAATGTAATGCCTTAATGTTAATCTTCGATCTGTGTTAATGACAATGTAATGCCTTAAATTTTAATGAAAATGTAATGCCTTAATGTTAATGAAAAATGCATTGCACAGGTGTGAGGCCAATACAAATCCTTATAAAAATATAGGTTACAAAAAGAAAGAAAACATAGGCTTTAGCCGAGCAAGAATGAGGAGACTATATTATATGACATTCACATCACAAAAATTGTAGTTACTTAGAATTTCAATACCATATACATCCACTACTAGTTTCCAATTCTTTGGGTCTAAGGACCGGTGGGTTTGGTCGGAGGGACTATGGGCACTTAATATCTCTTTTTTTTTTACAATCAGGCCAAGAGCAAAAATGGCAAGCTCTACTTATTAAGCATTCTCCAAGTTTCCTGAGTTACATGTTCAAGTAGTTCATTATCCTAAAAGTATTGTGACTAAGGAAAATGGGGAAACAAAATATTTGGAAACGTTGTTGGTCAGAATGTCCTTCTAAAGACGCAAAGAATCGAGATACTAAGAGAAGTTTAAGATTTCAAAGCTCGCTGGCAATGGTGGAAAAAATACATACCTTCATCCTTACCCACTCCTAAGTTGCTATGCAAATCATGCTTTAACGAGATTTTTGCCTTTCAATTCTTGAAACACCAAAAATTTTGTATTCTATTGGTCACCTAGATTTAACAAAATGAAGACGTAGTTACTTCAAATTCTAACTTGACTAGAGTACTAAAATAAAGGTTACAACAAATGGGTCTAATTTCATCACAATAGCTTTAACATACAGATCCTGCCAATACTTTGTTAGCCCCTGCACGATATGAAAAAAACTAATGATTTCACGACTACACAGTACCAATCCCAAACAAATGAAAAATCAGAAAAAATTGAACCTTCTGACAATTTTTTGACTTCTTAGAACTAATTTCAAAATGTCTCTTTTGACGAAGTTTTTTTGGAGCTGCTTTGTTTTTTAAGATTTTCGGGTCGAGGATGATTCCACTAGCATGCTGGGCTGCTCCATCGAAGCTTACAGACACCTCCGTCCTGGAATTCAACTTGGATGACTCTACAGTTTAATAATCAATCCACTCAATAATTTCCTTCGACCGTAATTTGTCATCTGCTACCATATTAGCTAACTTGGTAAATACGATGCACATATGCTAATATCTAACTTGGTCAGGAGTACTGGTCCAACCTTAATCAAATTCTTCACAACTTTGCACGTCATACAATAAGCGATGCACAGTAGAAAGAATAGAAGCTTTTTGTCTATGGCCACCGAATTTTTCTGGTAACTTTTTCAAGATATGCCACAAGCGCCACCTATGTTTTGTGTTTGGAAACACGATGTCAGTTGAATTCTGCATAGCTCGATCCTAATCTGTAAGAATTTTAGTTGGAGCTCGATCATGCATACACTCAAGCCAGGTTCTAAATAACCATACAAAAGTACTTGTATCCTCATTTGAGACCAACCACATCCAAGTCAAGTTGATTGTTCATGGTGGTTTATCCCAACAAAGGAAGCAAAAGGCATTTCGCACTTGTTAGTCAAGTACGTGGTGTCAACCATTACTACATCACGTAATTCCTTACATGCTTGCCTGCACCTGTTATTTGCCCAGAAAACGTTCCTCAGGCGGGCATCCTCATAGAAGTCTATATTGAAATAGAAGCCATGACTATTTGCTTGCATCCTCAAAAATATGCTTGTATTGCAACAGGGTCTCTTTGCCCAAGTCCTAATCGACGTACTTTGTCAATGAAATTTCTACAATCCTTCTCCACGCATTCAATCTTTTCATAACCACCGGCTTCAACAACAGCTGAGTTAAAACTCTTATGCAATGGTATTCTAACGATGTCATTTATTTCAAGCTGTCTTTTAACTCGTGCACTGATTTGGCGATTAAATCAATATAGCCGTGATTTTGATGGGCTTATTCTGCAATATGCTCTAGATGAACAATCTTAATACAAAAAATTCTATTAAGGTCAGAACATGTTGTTAATCTTGCTTTACATCCAATTTGGATGGTTGGTTGAGGCTTCAAAACTGCATTTGTCCCACTAGTTCGACGACCTTCGCCACTGCATATAAATGTTACATAACGCATAATCCCATCATCACCCTTCTTGGAATTTCTTTTCCTTATGGAAAAACTGATTTGATAAGCGTAGTTTTTGTAAAACTCAAACACCTCTTTCATATTCTTAAATTTCATTCCAACACTAGGCACAATAATGTCCATTTCTTCCCATGAGCTCTTATTATTCGGATTGTCATCTTCGAAGGAAAGAATTTCAAAATATCCTACATTCACAAAAAATGACAACAATCAATTCAAACTGTTTGCACAAAACCATTATGTAAATCAATCTAAAATAATATCACTATATTGTTTCATGTAATAGGTGGTAAATGCAAATCCTTGATCCTAATTCCAAGCCTAGGGATAAAATTAAAAAGATAAGAAGCTAAACCATTGAGCCAATAGGTACATATGCAGCCTAGAATAAAATAGCAATTTTGCTACAAAAATCCACGTAGTCAACATGGTGACAAGTAACATTTAAAAACTAGATGTGAAAATCCTCCAGGCTCAAAATTAAAAGCTTAATTGCATGTTATCATAAGCTTCAGGATTCTGTTCAGATGTGAATATCCTTCAAGCTCAAAATATGTACACTCTTGTTTTGCACTTAATGACGTGTTATCATAAACACATTTAAACTATAACAAAGTTCATCCCTTGATGTAAATGTGAATAGATCTATCACCAATTTTTAGTGGACATGATAATGTTTATAAAAAAATTAAAAATAAAATCAGAGAGAATGTTAAGCTAGAAAAATGAACGCTTCAACTTGAAGAAGAGTAAGCTGGAAAAATCTTATCCATGTTGTCGCGAGCATCAAAGTTGCCATGGTCAAAGTCGTCGGCTTCCATTTCATCGATGTCTCCATAAAGCGATTGCCTCGCTTCAACTGGAAAAGATGGGGATAAATTTATCAGACTCGTCGAAGGGTTAAAATTGGCATCAACGTTGCCGACGTCAACGTTGTCGGAGTCAACATCTCCAACGTAGTGGAATGAAAGGGCGGGAGGTTCCATTCATGTTGAGAGGAGAGGGTTAACAAATGGGCCTGAAGAATTATAGGGGTAGGGTAGGGTTAAAGCTTAAAATGGCGTGCTTCCATTATATATATATATATATATATTCACGAGATTTTGACTTTTCAAACAAAAACAACCATGTCACTAAGCTGTAATCCATTCGGTGGAAAGTGCTGTACTTCTAGTATCGTCCTTTCGACAATTACAATGGCTTTTTTATCTCTTCATGTTCAAAAAATAAAGTTGTTCAAATATGATGGGACCCAATATAGTCTAATATTTTTTAAAACTTTTAACTCCTCCCTTTCCACAATCTTAATAAGGCAAGAATGGAAATGATTGTCGTATTTTGTTGTCGTCCCTGTTTACTCTTGACAAGGTTGATTTTTGTACTTCATAGAGAATACAATTCAAGAATAATGAGTAAAAAACTAATGATCTCTAATAGTGCCGAATCATTGAATATACATCAAGCAATAGAATAAGGAAAATGATTGAATATTAGAAAATTCCAGAATATCTGGCTATTTCAAATGATTAATAAAAAGAAGGAAATTTTTAGTACCAAATCTACATTTGAGTCCTGTAATTAAAACAAGAAGAATGACGGGTTCCTCGCACACCAAATGCTGAGGCTCGCCTATTCCACATGAGATCTAATTATACTTTCCCTTCCCAGCTTCAAATTTTATTAGAGTGTGACTGGTTAAAGCTCGTATATGCTAGAATCTACATGCGTTTTTCCTATCCATTTTCTACACTTTTTAGATGGATATAAGCTCGTTGGATGAGGTGTGACTTAGATTAAGGTTGTTCTCATAGGACTATATGCTTGAGAATTAATCATGAATTCGCTCTTAATAACTTATAAATAACAACTGATATACTAGAAGTCCATTTCACTCAAATTTCAAGTGCAATTTTATAAACCTTCAAGCTTCTTTCATTCTTGTCAAGGTAAGGTACCACATCCCTTCTTTGTAATTGTGTTTGATTATACATACGAGTAGGAGTCTATAACAAAATCCCCGTACTTGTAGCCTTTGAAGATGGAACTCGTTCGATGACACACACTATTAACTATAAGAAGTCTAGACCACAGCAGTTCGAAAGGTTGCCCTATTCAGGAATCTCCGGAGTCTATTTATGAGGTTACGAGAGACTTAAGGAAGCCCACTATTTTCTCCACTCAGAGAAAAAAAATGAAAAAAGCCAGTTTAAAACGCAGTAGTGTTTACACATTTTTCTATTTCCCTATCATTCTCAAAACAAAAAAGAAAAAAAAAAGGAAAAAAAAAGAATTTTTTTAACATATTACAATGAAAGTTTTATTTTCTATGTATGGTTTTGATATAGAAATAGTTTATAGCACAACGTGGTATATTCTATCATGGACAGGTGAATAATGAGTAAGAATGCCAAGCAAGCTTAAAAAGGCAATTGGCACAGTTAAAGATCAAACCAGCATTAGCCTTGCCAAGGTTACAAGCAACAATTATTCAGCCCTAGACGTTGCAGTGCTGAAAACCACAACCCATGATGACATACCGATAGATTATAGATATGTATACGAAATCTTGTAGTTGATTTTGTCAAACAAAGTTTATTCTGCAGCTTTATGCCCGTAGAATTGGCAAACGCATAGGCAGAACACGTAATTGGATTGCTGCCTTAAAATCATTGATGCTTGTTCTTCGAATCTTTCAAGATGGTGATCTTTATTTCCCATGAAAAGTTCTTCATGCAATGAAAATGGGGTGCCAAGATTCTTAATCTATCAAGCTTCAGAGATTATCCGAATTCTGGCACTTTGGATTACAAGGCCTTTGTTCGTACATTTGCTCTTTATCTTGATGAGCGTTTGGATTGTTTTTTGATAGGTAAGCTTCAACGTAGATATACACACCAAGAGAGGGAAAGTTGGAGCTATCATCAGAACAAAAGGACTGATGAGCATGTTCGTGACATGAAACCAGCAATGTTACTTGATAGAATCTCATATTGGCAGCGATTACTTGAATGAGCCATAGCTACATGCCCAAGTGGTGCTGCCAAGATGAATCGTTTGATAAAAATGTCTTTATGCCAACATGTAAGAAAGCTTTGATTTATACGAAGACATTTCTGATAGACTTTCCCTTCTTCTCGATAGTTTCTTTCGTTTACAGTACCAGAATTGCATTAACGCATTTCAAACTTGTGTTAATGCTGTGAAGCAATTCGAAGAACTCAATGCTTTCTATAGCTTATGCAAAACTATAGGCATTGGGAAGATATCAAAATATCCTAGTATTCAGGCATTATTCGAGAATCTGATCGAAACATTGTAAGAATTTTTAAAAGATAAATCTTCATTTATGACAAACTCTAAGTCTACAAATCAGCCTATGCCACTTCCCGAACCCCTACCAAATGCCGATCAAAAGTTTGGATGTCTTGATAGTAACAACGGACGGATTGAATACTCCACCACCACCAACGGATTTTCCAAGCGGATTTCCATTTACAGTTCCCGAGGTACCTCCTTGGAAGACTTGATTAGTGCCATGGAAGCTGAAAGGAGCCCATCAATCTCATTCAACCTAGATGCTTATTTAGGTCAGTTCGAGAAAAGGACATAGCAAGATGAAGCATTCGAAGTAAGTGAATCAAGTTCAACCCATTCGTTGCCCGTGTCAAATTCAATGGCTAATCTCGTTTCATTAGATAGTTGGTCGAATACAAACGAGAAGAAACGCAAGCAAGATCAAGAGCATGAGCAAAAGCCAGAGGCTTCTAAATCTACTTCTATCATAAATTGGAAGATTGTAATAGTCGAGACACTATCAGCTGACAAAATATGGAATTGTCGAACTGAATTTCTTCTCATATGATTATCATTAAATAGAATACAGTCCAACTTGATTTTCGCTATCAGTTGGCATGACATAAGGGGTTACACAATTTACCCTATTAGTCTACAGCTATACAAATTTATAGCACATGATTTACACTATATAATTTTACAAGAATATAATATGTGAGATGGCAAAAGTTGTCCAGTTAATTTACTAACACCCCCCCTCAAACTAATGCAGGTCTATCGACCAGCAGCAATTTGCTAACCAAAAACTGGTGACGTTGTCGAGTCATTGCATTGGTAAACACATTAGCCACTTGAAGGTTTGTAGAGATGTGAGGGAGAGAAATAACTTGCTTGTCAAAAGCTTCCCTAATAGAATGGCATTCTACTTCAATATGCTTGGTGCGTTCATGATAAAAAGGATTAGATGCTATTTGAATTGCGCTAGTATTATCGGCATGAAGTGGAGTTGGATGTAATTGAGAAAACCCAAGTTCAACCAAAAGACCTCGAAGCCAAATAATTTCAGAACATACAGTAGACATAGCCCGATATTTAGCTTCAGTAGAAGACTTTGAAACTTAATCTTGCTTCTTACATTTCCAAGAAATCAAGGCATCACCAAGAAACATACACCAACCAGTAGTAGAGCGACAAGTGTCAGGACATCCAGCCCAATCAGCATCACTCTAGGCTTTAAGTTGAAGAGTTAAATCAGCAGGAAGGAATAAACCACGTTTAGGAGACCCCTGAATATAGCGGATGATATGATGCACAGCAGCCATGTGAAGATGTCTAGGGGAGGTCATAAACTGGCTTACTTGGTGAACAGCATAAGATAAGTCAGGTCGAGTAATAGTCAGATAAATGAGACTTCCAACCAGAAGACGGTAAAGAGTAGGATTAGAAAGAAGATCTCCTTCATCACGACGGAACTTAACATTCACTTCTAAGGGAGTGTCCACTGAAGGAGTATCCTGAAGACCAACTAAAGCAATCAAGTCTTGGGCATATTTTTGTTGATTAACAAAGATACCTGCAGGACTAGAATGCACCGCAAGACCCAGAAAATATGTAAGTGGACCAAGATCTTTCATATGAAAAGAATCATGAAGATGCTTTTGAAGTTGACCAATCAAGTCAGAATTTGTTCCAGTGATGATTATATCATCTACATAAACAAGCAGCAGCACAATACCCTTAGAAGTAGTACAAAGAAATAAAGCGGAGTCATACTAACTTTGCACAAAAGAGAATTGAAGCAAAGTATTCCGAAACTTGTCAAATCATGCCCGTGGAGCCTGTCGTAATCCATATAAAAAAACGTTTCAACTTACACACATCCTGAGAATTAGTGGTGGTCAATCCAGGTGGAGGCTGCATATAGATGTCCTCTTTAAGATCGCCATGAAGAAAGGCATTTTTTACATCCATTTGATGCAAATGCCAATTCTGGGAAGCTGCAATGGCAAGAATAGTACGTATTGTAGTCATCTTGGCCATCGGGGCAGACGTCTCATCATAATCCACACCATACTCTTGTCTATTACCAAGAGCCACCAGTCGGGCTTTATATCGATCCAAGGTACCATCCGAGTTGAGTTTAACAGAGTATACCCACTTGCAGCCAATGGGTTTGACATTAGAAGGAGAAGGGACAATATCCCAAGTGTCATTATCAGCAAGAGCTTGAAGCTCATCTTGCATAGCCTTTCTCCAGCACTCATGCTTTACGGCTTTAGCATAACAAGTAGGAATTGAAATAGAGGATAAGGTAGTAGGGGATGAGGTATTGGCTACATCAGAAGTAACAGACAAATACCCATACCTTTTAGGAGGATGAGAACGACGGCTTGATCTACGAGGTGATGGAACAATGTCAGGCTCAGGTGCAGGAGTATGATCTAGAAGAGACCCATCAGAGCTTGTTCAGATATCAGGCTCATGTTGTCGACGTCCTTCATACACTAATCCAGATTTGTAATGCTCTATAGACATAGATGAGTCATCAAAACTAGGAAGAGGAGATAAAATATTAGGAGAGGAAGAGGTCTTAAGTGTTGGAAAAAATGCTGATTCTCGAAAAACACAACATTTCTGGAGACACGAAGTCTTTTTAAAGATGGATCATAGCATACAAAACCTTTTTGAGTATTGATATAACCCAAAAAAGCACACTTAACAGACTGAGGGGATAATTTATTACGTTTTGAAGGATGTAAGTG